CAAAACAATACTCATATTTTCAATTTAATTTACATTTTCGTTTCCGACAATTACTGAAAAGCCGGGATAAAGTCTACCTTTTTTCATCTCAAAGTACAACAATTTCCCCTTTCAGACTTTCAATATTCAGTCGCCGATGGATTCAGTTATAAGCCATTCCTGTTTTCTTATAATTTCCTTCTTCCTTTTTTTTTCCTTTTGCTTTTGCCCTGTCCACCTTTTTTATTTTCTTTCCCTCTCGATTATCCTTTCCCTCTATTCCCTCTTTTTTTTTTTTTACTTTTGTTTTTGTTTTCTTACGTTTTTATCAATTTGTCTGTGTATCTATTTATCGGTTTGTTTGTTTGTTTATCTCTGTGTATGTCTGCTTATTTTTCTCTCTCTATCTCGGCTTATGTTTTGCCTATCTGGCGATTTATTTATTTATTTTCCTATCAATCATTTTGCTTCTGTTCTCTCTATTTATAAATTTTTAAATATTTAAATATATATACATATCTATAGCGCTCTATAAATTCTACCCGTCTATTAATTTATTAATATTCTCTCTATCTATTCGTTTTTATCTGACTCTGTTCTTTCATTCTTTGACCTCGACTAGAATATCTATTTCCTTGTACACTATTTTGGTAAAAATATTTTTCTTTATGGCTTCAGTTTCTTTGTTTATCAAAACTACAAAAATCCTTTTTTTCCAGATAACAAAGAAGTATTTTAACTTAGTTTTTCCCTGTCTTATCCGGAGTTTATATATATATATATATTTTTTTTTCTTTTCTTGGTCTTTTTTTTATATTGGTTAAGAAAAAAGAAGAAGATAGAAGTGGATAGTCAACAAATTGAAGAGTTATTTCCGAAATCGAGTTTGAAATGAACTCTGTTTTTTCTTTCATTTTATTTAGCCTCCTTTAACCTTTCTCCTTCCTTCTATTCCACTCTTCTTGTTTTCCGTTTTCTATCTCTTCTTTCCCCTCTTATCCTTATTTCCACTCCCTTCCCCTCTTATTCTCCTCTCTATTTTCCCTTATTATCTACCCCCTTCTTTTCCCTCTGATCCTTCCTCCCTTCTCATTCTTCCTGCATTCATTTCCTTCTCTTCCTCCCTTTTCTTTCTGTTCCTAACTCCCTTTCTTTTACTCATATTTCCCCTTCCTCATTCCCTACTATCCTTTCTCATCTTCATTCCTTTCTTTATGAGCCCCCCCCCCCCCCTCATTCCTTCCTTTCAATTATCGTCCTTCCTTCTTCTTTTCCTCTCTCTTCCTTTCTTCCTCCTTTCCGATTTCATACTCCTCTCATACTTCTTTCTTTCCCTTTCCGTTATCCCTTCCCGTTTCTCTCCTTCCTCTTCTCATCCTCCCCTCCTCCTTTCCCCTCTCCTCCCTCCTTTCTTTCCTTCTTTACCCTCCCTCCTTTCCCCTCTCATCCTCCCTTCCTACTTTACCCTATCCTCTCTTATCCTTCTCCCTTCTTTCTTCTCTCATCTTCCACCTCCTCCTCTCCTCTCTCACCCTCCCTCCTCCCCCCTCTCAACCTCCCCTCCTCCTTTTCTCACTCACCCTCCCTCCTTTCCCCTCCCCTTTTCCTCTCTCACCCTCCCTCCTTTCCATTTTCATCCTCCCCTCTCCTTTCCTCTCCCATCATCCTTCTTTTCCCCACATACTCTCCCTCCTCTCCCACGTCACCCTCCCCCCTCCTTTCCTCTCTCACCCTCCTTCCTTTCCCCTCTCATCCTCCTTTCCTCTCTCATATTTGCTTCTTCTTTTCCCCTCTTATCCTCCCTTCCTCCTACCCCCTCTCATCATTGCTTCTTTCTTTCCCCTAACCTCCTTTCCCAATCCTTGCTTCTTCCTTTCCCCTCTCATTCTTGCTTCTTCCTTTCCCGTCTCATCCTCCCTTCCTCCTTTCCCCTCTCATCCTCCCTCCCGAGCTTCCATCGCGTTCCCAACATTGTGTTCCGAATTCTCATCCTGCCCCAGCATCGATTTAGCGCCCCCTCGGC